CAGTTCAGTACTTTATTATTAACTGGTGCAGTTGGAAAAAACAAAAAACAAAATATAAAATCAAGTAAGAATACATTTTGCATATTATATCATCAAAGTGTTTAATGCAAAATAAAAACAGCAAGTTGATTTTTTTTTTACAGGAATGAGAAAATGAAGCTCAGCTCTGAAGGCCACTCGTGGAAAGTTGTTCCGAACTTTTCTTAAGTTAAACTTTTAAAACAACAGAACGGTTTCTGGCCCCGTTAAAGGAATTAATCTGTCGTAAACTCACACAAAGCTGTCAGAAATATACGATTTAATGCTTTTATTTCTTTTAAAGAAACCAGCTGCTTTAATAATTTCCACCGGTCCACTCTGGATGACAGTTTGATCTTCTCTTTTTATTTTACATCAAACATTTCTTTAAATCTTTAAAAGCTTTAAATTAATTTGATCCTGGGTTAAAGTTAAAACACCTCTAAATGTTTTTCATGGTTAAATACTCCAGACAGCTTTGTGATTTATTTAAACAGCCACAGAAATAAAAAGCATGATTTTRACAGAAACTCCACTGAAAAAGGCCAAGGCACAAATAATCTGTAGCAATCAAAATGTCTGTGATCTTACAGGTGACGTACGCAGAACGTGCCCATCAGTGCATTGCTCGAGTCGCAAAAATAACAACGACAAAAATCATCGTCCGAAACATTAAAACAAAGCAAGCATATTGCCTTCTTCACTACATGGTGCCATAAAGTGCTCCTTTTCATTCACAGACAGACAAGTTCACAGAAAAATGAATTCAGATTATGGCTTCGAGAGTCTGAAACTGATCAAACAGGTCTGTGAACTAATAATTTAACTTTTTTTTATTTATTTATAACACCTTTAAAAAGCTGGACCAGTGTCTCCTGTCCGTAAAACGGTTAAAATGACCAATTTATTGTCTTAGAGAGGCCAAAAAGACAAAACATAAAACTCAGGGTTATTAGAAAAACAGTCTGGTGCAACTAACTGCTACAAACTGATAGCTAGAGATAACTTCAGCTGGTGTTGGCTAGCTTGTGCTAACAGCTATTAGCAACACCTAGCTGATACAAATTGTGTATCTGGTGCTAATTGCTATTAACATCAGTTAGCTTGCTAAAACATGTGCTGGTGCTAACAGCCATTAGCATCATCTAGCTAGATTTACAACATGACTAATGCTAGCTAGCTGTTGCAAACTGTTTTTAGCAATGACTTATATGGTCTCTTATAAAAATCATTGGTTTTTAGCATCAGCTAACTTGATACAATGTGGTTTGGGACAAGCTAAATGTTGCTAACAGTTATTAGCATTAGCTAGCTAACTTAGGCTGATGCTAACAGCAGCTAGTCAACATAAAAATGTATTTATTCAACTAAACTTATCGTCAAGTAAAGGTTAGTTTTAAGGACATAAGGAACTTGTAGGTAGCTATATTTTAAATTTCCTGCCTCGCCATGTCTTTTACAGTATATTTGAT